TCTGGGCCGGGCCTGGGAAACCCAACGAAGCTGAGTTTGCGACTTGCCCCCCCTCTTAGCCGCCCTTAAGCGCCCTGCGCCTGGCGCCACCTCTGTCCAGGGAGCCCGTAGCAAGCCCGTAGGGCCCGTGGGGCGGCGGGTGCGAAGCGGGGTTGAGTGGGGCCTCTTCCGGGCCGCCGCGCGGCCGGTCGCGGCGGCTCATACTGAGCCTACTGAGCCGGCTCAGTCTCAGTATGGGGGGCGGCTGCGGGTCGCTGGATTTCCCGTGGATGATCGAGACAACAATAGATTAATCACACTTAGCCTACCCTAGGCCCAGGTCGCGGCGGCCAAGGAGCCGTCGTGGCCGGGCGCGCCGCGCTCCTGGGCCTCGAGGCCCACGCCAAGCACATCTGCATCACGCCCGACGGCCACGTCTTCTGCTACACGTGCTCGAAGCACTGGAAGGAGGTCGCCCTCGACGGCCGCTCGACGGGGAGCAAGTGGCTCAAGGGCGCGTCCAACCCGCTGCTCGGTTCCTCGCCAGTTGCTGTGGCGCTTGACCCGGGTCGAAGCCGCAGACGGACGTCTCGCGATTGACGAGATCGTCGTATGTCGACCCGAGTTTCGTCTTGAGCGCGCCGACGAGTCTTTCCACCTCTTCTGCTCGTACGCGGGACCCAGCGCTTTCCCTTCCCGTTGATCCTATTGGGAACTCGTTGAGGAACGCTGGAATCAAATATTGAAATGCGTTTCCCCTGTGGCAGGCGTTGCGTACTAGATTGCATGCGTTGGATTGTGTCAGTTTGTTCCGCGTTGCGGGCTTTCGAGTACTGGCCTCCCTGGGCCCCCAAGCTTCTTTAAGTGCCCCCTGCACGCGCCCACTTCTGCCCAGGGAATCGGAGCGGGGACTCGGAGGCTACAGAGTAAGTATTCCTAGGAGGCCACTGGCAAATTATGCACCGCGTTTTACGTGGGCCGTCGCCACGTCGTTTTTTGCGCGTGTTTTACGCGGAGCCTTTTTTTTATTTTTGCGCTTTCGCCGGACTGCCAGAGGAGACTGGTTCCTACAATTGGCATTCCCCTGCTGGCCTATTGGGCTCTTGACAGAGCAGGGTGATAGCGACACTCTGGGAGCGTCGGACCACGACAAGCGTGCTAGCATCTCCCTGGGTTGGAGCTCGGATAACTGCAGAGACCTGCAATACAGGCGCGCTTCCCAAATCCGAAATAAGCTCAAAATTGGCGGTTGCGTGATCTTTTGTATCGCCCTGGCAGAGAGTTTCCATCTCATTGACAGTCACGCACCAGACCCCGTCGTCGGGAGGCACGAAGTCAGTGCGGCGCACGGTCACAGGAAGCGCACAACTCCATACTGGGCCAGGTCGATTGGTATCGACATGACATGGTATTTGATCTCCGGGTTTTGGTTTCACGACCTCGACCATGGCCGCAGAGCGAGGCGAGTCTAGGGCTCGTCCAAGACCGTGCTTGAGTACGTGGGAAAGGGATTCAAGAGAGAAGAGCTGGGATAAACTGGCCTGGCTCAGCTGACCTAGTTCTGAAAGTGTCGGATTATCATCAGCAACACGCAATGGGATACCACTGGCGAGACCCGCGAGAACCAAGAACGCGCATCCAGTCTGTGGAGCGCAAGGTACTTCGAGAGAAATCCCCGCACGCAAGGCTGCGGGGAACGCCTCCATACGTAGCGTGCGCCGTACATCAACGCAGCCTGTCCGATTTATCAAGGTGTCAGGCGCTTCATCACGCCACGAGGGCAGAATGAAAGCAAGGATGCACCCACCAGCGGAAATATTGAGGGAGCGTCCAATACGGTACCAGGGCGCATTTCTCCCCAAGATGACACGACGATGTCTCGAGGCCCTCAGTATACTAGCTTCCGATAGTTCTGGTCGAAAAGCTTCAACGTCGACCCCGAGTGCGATCTGGGCGTTTGGGTGGTCCTTCAGACAGGCTGGGAGCGCACCCAGGCAGTCGTGGAATATGGCATCGAATCGCAACATCTCAGAGCATTGCACATCAGGAGGCAGGACTTCTCCATCAACAAAGCGTCTCTCTAAAAAGAGTGCTGTCGATGGACGCCGAGGCTCACCGTTGATGCCACTACCCACAGCACAAGCGGCCACGTCACTAAGTGCTGCAACAGCACGCGTGGCGACCCCCCCCCAGGATCCACGAGCAGCAACGAGCGCCGCGCCACCGCAGTCAGCCAATACAAACGTTCTCACGTCCACGACTTGAACACGCCAGGTATGATCGAGCGCCAATAACGCAGGAAGAAGGCCGTAGAAAAGTGCCCAGTCGGCGGTAGTTCCGCCATCGACCACGAGGAGGAGAAGAGGCCGATTTGGCCTTGGTCGTCCATCGCCGTGCCACTGTGCGGCGCTTTCTAAGACCCCCGCTGCGCGAGCATCATATGTGTGTCGATCAGTTATGTGCTCTCGAGCTGCTGCGGCATCGTAGCGGATGACCATTGGTGTTGCCCTTTGCGCGGCCAATACTGAAGCCACGGCTGCTGCCGCACTAGTGGCAGAATATACCACGTCACCGTGTCCTCGCAGCATGGCCTGTAACTCTGGGAATCCATCTCCACCTTGCTCCTCGACTGATATAAGGCGACCCCCACCGCAGGCCAACGCCTCAAAGACTCGATTATTGACCATGCCTAGTCGCCGCTGTGATGAATCGGTGGTCCCAAGTACCACAGATGCTTCACTGTAGAGTCTGGCAATCTCATCGCTTGGAAGAGCACCCTGCCAGCAACAGGCGGCAAGAACCGCATGATCATTGTCCCAAAGAGCAAATCGGTCC